TAAATTCTAGAACAATATATCTTTATTATGGAAAAACATGTTGCTATTGTGGAACTAATATGATGCTATGTTTATATTTTTATGAAATTAAAATGTTCTATATATATATATATTTATTTATTTATTTTTATTATTTAATTATGTGAATTTGTAGTTCTAAACCGATCCAATCCGTGTTTGAATGGATTGGTTCCACGATTTAAACAAATTGGATTGGTTCCAATTTTTTAAGAATTGTAAATAACGGATTGGTCATGATTTTATCCCAATCCGGACCATGCTTACCCCTAATAGAAAGGAATACTTTTTTTTTTTTTATCAGAAAGAACAAAACGTAGTTTATTATACATTTCGATAATAATGCATTTGCAAAAGAGATAAAGAGAGTCTCCATATATGGAGAAAAACAAACCTACACGTAATTTGTATCTCAAAATATAATTTTTGAAAAAAAATTTCAAAATTTTGTTTGGTTCAAATTTTTTGAATTTTTTTTTTCAAAATCACTTTTTCCTTCTCTTCTCTCATTCTCAATCACTTTTTCTCTCACATACACGTACTCAACTACAACAAAATATCAAATCATTGCAAACTCTCAAACTCCAAAACTATTTTCAATATATACAACCAAATAAACTAAAAAAAAAATTTAAACTCTCTCTCCAATTTTTTTTTTTGAAAATTTGTTTCAAAACACAAACTAAACACACTCCACAAATGAAAGAAACCTCCACGCATAGAGGTATTATAAACCCAAAAATTTTGTTGGAATTCAATTTTGTTCACGCTGGAATGCTAGGTATTAGAAAAATACTAAGAAGAAGGTAATGTATGATGGAGATTCTTTTTAAATGTGGTTCTCAATATACAAAAATTAAATCTTAACTACACATCATATTTTGAAATAAATTTTTTGACAATTTTTTTATGTTCCTATCTTTTATTTTTGTTCACACGTCTAGTAAGGTATACGTGAATAAAATAATTAGTGATTATTTTAAACTGTGGAGTCCATAATTTTAAGTGAAACAAATATATTTTTTATATAATAAACTTGTTATTTTAAACTAATCACAAATTATATTTTGTTGTATATTTTCTCCATGTGAAAGAAAACATCATGTGATAAGGACTGGGTGTCGAAACCTAAAAAAATTAGATATGTAATATATATATATATATATGTAACAAGCAATGATGATAGGTGTAATAGTATATATTAAAAGTGATATAATAAGCTATCGCACGAGCATGATAAGATTGGCAACATTTCTACACTGTAATTAAATAGCAAAAGTGGAATATTCTTGGCTGAATTTAATGGATGCTACAGAGTTTAGTGGGAAACAGCTCCATACCCACTTTCCATCCCACATTCTTCTTTTTTCTTGGGTAATGATAGGGACACCAAATTTTCTACCAAACAAATGACCAAATGTCTCACATGGGTGTGGGGTCCACAATTTTGTGGGCCCCACACCTATGTGAGACATTTGGTCATTTATTTGGTAAAAAATTTGGGACCTCTAGCATTTTCTTTTTTTCTTTCTTCTTCTTCTCTTCTTCTTCCCTCCTTTTTTTTTTAATGTTGTATTGTGTATTTTTACTTTTATTTTTAAAAAATATCACTTCAGTGTATTTTTTTTAATTCATATCAATGGTAAATTTTATAAGCATTAATAATTGAAATTTTAAATTTTTTCATGTGTCTATAATTATTTTGTGAAGATATCATTTTTTTTGTTCGAGAGATATCAATTCAGTACAAATTTTAAAAAATAATTGCATATAAATGATAAATTTTATAAGTACTAAAATATTAAATTATAAATTTCTTCATAAATATGTAAATACTTTTTAAAATGGCCGCTGATATTTAATTATTATTATTATTATTTTATTTTATTTTATTTTTTTGGTCTGAACCGACATAGAGTGTAGATACTATTTTATGTATTGTTGTTAATAGTAAGCATGGCTGTATACAGCTTTCAAGCTAAGAGCATCCGCATCAGTTTCAGTAAATTTTGAGTTAAATTATAATTCAAAATTCACCTTTTTATTTTAGCTTGCCTCTTTTTTATATACACACTCCATCAAACTCTCTATTTTAAAATTCTATTTCATTAAAATATTATTTTTTATTCTTTTATCTTTTTCAATTTAAATATATTAAAACATGTATAAAATAAGACCCAAGACAGCACCAAGACAGCACCAGAGCAACAACAGAACAGCAGGAGCCAGGGTAGTCGACCGGCCGGATGACCGGGCGGTCGACCGGTTAAGCAAAATTTTAGCATTTTTCTTCTTCTCATGGGACATCCTGAGGGACATCCTAGGGGATGACCCCAGCTTTGCTCCAGTTCAGAGAGAGAGAGAACCTGATGAACTTTCAAGGTGAGAATGAAATTTGTGTGATGGCTCTGGTAAATGTTGACAGTAATGGTGGTATGAGAGATAGTGTTCTTGTTGGCGGGAGAAAGAAGCACAGAAAAGAAAATATAATAAAAAATTGATTACCCTGTGAACAGTTCCTCGCTTCATCAGAGGAGGAACTGTAGCTTTGTCAAAATGAATGAACCTCATAGCGACTTTGATGCATCAATATATTTACAATTTGACTCTACAATAGCGTCAAAGTCGTTGTGGCGACTCTGATACTGATGCTCTAAGAGGGTATTTGGTATGATTTGAATAAGTTCACCTTTTAACTTTTTACGAAAAAATATGTAGAAAAATAAAGAGGTAATATAACTAAAAAAAAATTTAAAAAAATAAAAACCCTACATAATTGACTTGCTGAATCTAAAGAGCCCAATTGGGCTTAGTGAAACAAAATCAGAGTCTAGTTTGAAAAATTTTAATAATATAATTTTAAATTAATTGAACTAGCTCAGTTGGTAACTTTTTTATTTTGGAAGGTCAAGAAATTAAGTATTGCTAAATGTAAAGATTGATCATTTATTTCTTATTATGAGATTCTTTATTGTGTTGTTCATTTCTTTTCTATTTTGAACTCCTTAACGTATAGTTGGTTGTTCAGATAGTTATTAATTTTTTTTTTCCTTTTTTTCCGGCCATTACGAGGGCTATCTGTTGGGCTGACTATTAGACTTCTATAGTTGTTGTTGGACTATAATATAATTTTCTTTTTATTGTATGTAATCACTGATTGACCAAATATATATAATTTTAAATTTAATCAGTACTTGGATTAAAATTTGTTAGCTCAAAAGTAGCTCATATTGTGTATAATCTCCTATTAATTAACCATATGTATATAATTTTAAATTTATTCAGTAGTTGGATAAATTTGTTAGCTCAAATTAGATTCTAACTGTGGATTAGGTTTGTCACAATTCGACCGACCCATATTCTATTGTTAATATAAGTAAATTATATGTAATAACATCAAATATCATAAATTAAATTAAATTTATTTTCTTACCATTTGGCTTAAATCATATTGCAGTGTAATACAATTTATTGCTTGATACACATAACTCAAATCAATTTTCTTATTATGTTTTGTGTTTGTATTTTTGTGATTTTTTTTTCTTTTTAATAAAAGCTATACATTATGTAACCACAACTAGAAATGATTTTTTTTTTTGTGTTTGAATTTGAAAACTCAAGTCCAATCCAAATTCTCGAGTTTCACTTGAGTTTAGACTTGGTGAAGCAATTTCTCACAAAAGTTGGGCTCAAGCTTAGATTTAAGCAAAAAGCTGAGTTTGAGCAGACTCTCAACTGAAGCAGCCCAAGTTTCATTAAACAACCATTTAATATAATTTGCTGGCTTGACTAAACTACGGCATTAAAGGTTGTATTAGAAGACAAATTGGTATCCATCACAAATTTAGCGATATTGAAAGTATTGAGCACTACATCTCCGGAATCAAGTTATGCAGTCATGAATTTTTAAAATCATGAGCCAAGATAATTAATAAATTCGTAACCACCAAACTAATTATTCCAGTTATGAATCGGATCATGAACCAGTTATGAAACGATATACATATTGCAAATCGGTCAAGGCACATATAATTTTCATTTCCTTTTGTATATTGGAATGTATGAACATCAGAATACCAAAAAATGCTTACATATCAGACAATGCGTGCCCTATTAGTTGATATTTAAAACCATGCTTGACATTCCCCTAACCATAGTACTTACTTTCAGTAGTAGCCCTTATTTGGGTTAGTAAGAAGCAAACTTTTTTTTAAGACAAATATCCAAGCTCAAGTCCTTTAGCTAATGTACTGTGAAACAGGTATGTTGATGTGTTCGTAGGAGGCCCTTAACGCTTGGAGTTGTCATGGAAATCAAAGCAGCTCTGGGGGTGATGATAATCTGTTTTTAGTGCCTTTGGATGCTCTTGGTTGGGTTGCACATCATAGTGGGCTAAATGTGCTTTCTTTTCTTTGGTTCAAAATTTTATGTTTAAGCTCCTCTTTCAGTTGGACTCTCACCAACATTTGGGCCTTGTGCTAACTTATAATTGGGCATTCTTCTTGGTGCCAACCTAGTTGGAATTAGGTAATCTTACTATAATGCTTTGTGAACTTCCCTCTTCTTTATTGATGCAAATTCATATGTAACTTATGTTATTTTCATCAATGAAATTTCTTTTCTTTTGCTGATAAAAAAAGAAAGGGGGAGGCAAATCAAGCAGCAGACTTTTGGCTAAGGAAGCAAGTTCCATGCTTTTTGACTATATGTACCAGGAGGCCTCTCCCGATTTGTTATTAGTACTTATCTGTGATATTAGGGGCGTCTTTTTTTGTGTTCTGTTGTAAATTTTGTTTCATATAAATTTAAATAAAAGTTGCTTCCTTTCGTTCCAAAAAAAAAAAAAAAGTGTCATAGAACAGTGGAACAAACAGCATGGTATGGATCAAAGGAAAAGGATTGCAGCAAACCAACTAAGATATACTTTTAAAATAAAATTAGGAACTTATTCTACGTATGAGTTAATTTTATTATGTTGTGTGTTACTACATTACACTTTCACAAGCTGACTAGAACCATCAGCTGTTACAGCAATATGGTCTAAACGACCACATTGATTTACTTTTGATTTCTCTTGTGTTTCTTTGAAATCTACGCTCTCAAAATGTGCTAAAGTTGCAAGCTCGTGAACCAACTCAGCAATTTTCTCTGTACAGACAACAATATCACTTAGGAGTGAAGCCACTGTGGCAACCGGTATTACTTCAAGGAGGTTGAGGTCTTCCCACAAGTCCAATTCAAGCAAGGATTGGAAGCGTTTCGAAGCAGTTTTTGAGTTTTTAATGTGGGGATCGACAGAGCACGGTTCTGTCATTGTCTTGATGGCTAATGCTAGATCCTTCAGAGCTTTTCCAGATTCCAAGCTCATTTTTATACATATTTCCTGAAAATGTTCACTGATTTTTGGCATTACCTGTATCAATAGCAGAGCATATTTGGGAGGTGAATTAAACATGTTTATTCACATAATTAGGGCTCTTTTGAAAACATTTTAGTTATGTATCAATAAAGGATGTTAGGAATAGATTGTAGTATATATTGTAGCATACTTGAGTCTTGGAATTAAGGTGGCCATTAAGAGCTTCAATCCGGTAAGCGCATTGTCGAGTGAGGGTTCCAATTTTCAGGTATTGATTCCATGGATGGCAATACATGAAATGACCGTGGCGTGGTTCCCATTTTGCAAAATTTGCCTGGTAATTCAGAAAATCAGTATATGCTCATTTTTATACATATTTCCTGAAAATGTTCACTGATTTTTGGCATTACCTGTATCAATAGCAGAGCATATTTGGGAGGTGAATTAAACATGTTTATTCACATAATTAGGGCTCTTTTGAAAACATTTTAGTTATGTATCAATAAAGGATGTTAGGAATAGATTGTAGTATATATTGTAGCATACTTGAGTCTTGGAATTAAGGTGGCCGTTAAGAGCTTCAATCCGGTAAGCGCATTGTCGAGTGAGGGTTCCAATTTTCAGGTATTGATTCCATGGATGGCAATACATGAAATGGCCGTGGCGTGGTTCCCATTTTGCAAAATTTGCCTGGTAATTCAGAAAATCAGTATATAGGAAACATTCAAGAATTTTTACTGGTGGGAGGGAGGGAGAAAATATGGTTTTTTTTTTTTACCCACCAAGGTTTCCTCACTGGTTTTGGAGTTGAGAACATTTTTGTAAGCTTGGAGAAATGACTTGTCGTCTTTGCCATCTTCACTCTCAGATGTTCTAAAATATTCATCTCCAAATCCTGCAAATTTGCTTTTCATAGTTAGTATGGAGGCTAACAATTACAAGAAATAATTTAGGGATTAAGAATCTTTTGTGCATTGAATTATGTTGTTCAATGTTTTATTCTGATAGAATAAGCCCACTAACCCAGGAAATTACATCGAAAATTATCCAAAAAGAAGTAGGGGGCTACAATATTTGACATGTAATGCCACAATGTTTTTTGAATTATTTTTTGTGTAATTTTTTATGTGTTAAATTCACTTATTAAATATGATAAAGTCAAATGCTTCAATCTATCCTCTTTCTCATTTGCTTTTTTTGCCTTCTAACTAGTTCTATTACCAACACAAAAACTAAACACATAAGAAAACACAAAATATCTATATAATAAAGTATGAGACTTTTTGAAAATGTGTCAGAATATCTTAGAGATACATTTTGTTTCAAGAGTTGAGATTAGTTTCCAAATTTATTAAGGGTCAAAATTTCTTTAATTCTCACTCACTCACCCACCTTCTTCCCCCCCTCCCCTTTTTCACTCATGCAATCTCTCTCTCTCTCTCTCTCTCTCTCCCTCCCTGCCCACCTTCCTTCCTCTTTCCTTTTTATATTTTTATTTCTTATTTTCCCCCTTTTTATTTTCCTTCCTATTTCTTTATTTTTTTCATTTTTGCTCACTTATTTTATTTACACAGGCATGCACTAGTATATTAATAAATAAGATTTTAAAGAATTTGTTAGTTGAACACACTTTTAAAAAAAAAAAATTATATTCATATATATATTTTGTATCTGATCCTAAAACTAATTTTCATATTCCTAAACTTATCCTTTTGTGACTAGCCTCGTTTGGGAACAAGCTATTTTAGTAATTTTTTGGATTTTTAGCTAAAATATGAGGTTAAAAAAAAAACTAGTATATTTGGGGTGACTTTTTGACTTTTTACAAAAAGATGTGCAAAAAGTAGAGAGAAAAGATAATCTTTGATTTTTTAGTATAGATTATAAGCTTTTTGACTTTTTTAGTAATTTTTTGACTTTTTGACTAAAATGTTAACTTACCAAACGAGACATCCAAGTTTCACTTAATATAATAGTATTTATTAAGGGTCAAAATTTCTTTAATTCTCACTCACTCACTCACCTTCTTCCCCCCTCCCCTTTTTCACTAATGCAATCTCTCTCTCTCTCTCTCTCTCTCTCTCTCTATCTCCCTGCCCACCTTCCTTCTTCTTTCCTTTTTATATTTTTATTTCTTATTTTCCTCCTTTTTATTTTCCTTCCTATTTCTTTATTTTTTTCATTTTTGCTCACTTATTTTATTTACACAGGCATGCACTAGTACATTAATAAATAAGATTTTAAAGAATTTGTTAGTTGAACACACTTTTGAAAAAAAAAAAAATTATATTCATGTATATATTTTGTATCTGATCCTAAAACTAATTTTCATATTCCTAAACTTATCCTTTTGTGACTAGCCTCGTTTGGGAACAAGCTATTTTAGTAATTTTTTGGATTTTTAGCTAAAATATGAGGTTAAAAAAAAAACTAGTATATTTGGGGTGACTTTTTGACTTTTTACAAAAAGATGTGCAAAAAGTAGAGAGAAAAGATAATCTTTGATTTTTTAGTATAGATTATAAGCTTTTTGACTTTTTTAGTAATTTTTTGACTTTTTGACTAAAATGTTAACTTGCCAAACAAGGCCAATTTACATACAAATAGATATTGTACTAAAAGATTTATAAAAAAAAAAAATAATACTTCATAATTTCAAAACTATCACTGAAATATTATTATGATAACCATTAATAACATCAAAAATAATAGAGGTGTCAAAAAATTATCAAATATTTGATCAAATGTCTTATATGGGTACAGGTCTCATGTAAGACCCTATGTGACCTACACCTATGTAACATATTTGATCAAATATTTGATAATTTTTTTGGTACCCCTAACATAACTCTAAAAACAGTTTCAATTATGTCATAAATGGATGTACCTTCTAAGAAGCTGCCAAGTGTTTCCAAATTGAGAGAAACTAGATTGTGAAGGTCTTGACCAGCCCAGACAGGACAAACAAAAATGGAGACAATGACACAAGCAGTCGCACCAATAAGAACAGTAGAGAGTCTCTGGTGAGCCAATTCCAAAATCTCATTATTTCGAAAACCAGAGACACATACCAAACTGAATGTCAATATGAATATCAACAACCCATAATCATATCTGGCTTTCACTTTGGGAAAGAATCTTATAAATGTTGCTGCTGCAGCTGCACAACATGCCCAAAAAACTAAATTTAATGGAAAACTTTAATTTATAAAAGAGTAATATTAACATAATTTTTTAAAAATATAATTTTAATAAATTACGAATTAGAGCTTGTTGATTTTGTTTTTGTTATTTTTGTTGTTTTTGTGTTTTTAAAAAATAAAAAATAAAAATGAGAACTTCGAAAAAAAAAAAACATTGTCTTCATATTGTTTTTATTTTTGTGCAAAAAATAATTTTTAAAAATTCTAAAACAAATTTTTGGTCTTTCATTATTTTTTTTTCCCTTAAGTTCTCGAAAATTGCTTCCGTACATATGTGGATAAAGTTAGGTATGTGTAGTCCTTTTTTAAACTCTCACTAACAAAACTCTCGTGCACTAAGCTATACGGTTTAGAAATACTTACCTAAACAAGTTTTTTTTAAATAAATGCAAAAACACAATCCAAAATGCTAGTAGTAGTATAGTACTTACCTAGGAGGAAGACAAATAATCCAATTAGTATGGGCTCGCCAATCTTTCCAGATATACTAGCCAAGTGATGAGCCCCAACACCTAGACCACCAGCTACCAATGTTGCTAATCCTCTGTTTATGCCTTTTCCAAGGGTCGCACCTGCAAAAAAAAAAAAAAAAATGTATGTAAAATTCATCATATATTTTGTCGTAGATTTTTTCTTTTTTTTAATTAGCAAAAGTAAAATTTTATTAATAAAAATTAAATGTATTACCAACCTGATTACATCAATAAAAACAAATGGGCCAATGTCGATAAAATAAGGTCTCCCTTCACTAAATTGGTCTTTCTTTACCGAACTTGTTAATGAAGGATTAATAAATGCCTAAGTCTGCTTACATATAATTAAATCACATAGTTTAAATACGAACTTCTATGTTGTCGTGTACAGTTTTATTTTTTTATGCTTTAATTCCTGCACCATATATAGTAAGTGAATTTTGAAAAAAAAAAATTATTAATAAAAAAAAACTTTATTGATGAAAATCAAGAGTAATATATACAGTAAACATTAATAAAGAATGTGAGTACAAAGAGTATCAAGCTAAACAAAACAATTCCAAAATTTTGAGTGCTTCATTATCAAATATAAATGAGCTCGTGAACTTACCAACAGAGAATTCAAAAACCACCACCACAGTCATTACAGCCCACATTGCAGAGATCCCAAAACTGTTGTAAACAGGTTGAAAGTAGTATAGTAATGAAACCAAAGTGAGTGCTAGCCCTACTTTGAATGAATGAATTACTCTTCTTGGATCATCTTGTCCAATCTTTTTAGTATTCCTAGCAATCTTAACCACCTCGGCTTTTAACTTCTCCGGCAGAGTCTTCAACCACCGCCAACTGCGAGAAAAGAGCGGTGTTTTCACGTAGTTTTCAGACCCAATTTCCATGGCAGAATGAGGAAATGAAAACTTGCATGAACTGTTTTGATAACTAAGAAAATGCGTGTTTGTGAGACTCTACGAGCTCAGTAATTTAAAGAAGAAAAATTGTGTTGATGGGAACAATTTAAAAAAACAAAAACAAAAAAAACAAAAGTTTATGACATGAACACGTCATGTAATCTTTTTGTACGGAACACGTACTTGCTACGAAAGCTCATTAAAAGAAGTGGAAGCAATTGGTTGGGAGGTGATTTTGATTTAAGTGGGTTCTAACTATTAAAATTGACGCATTTTGATTTGGGTGGATTCATTATCTCACTCTCTTTGGCAGCCACCGCTATTATTATTGTCATCATCACATTTTGTCACTCTCTAATAACTTATTTTGATTTTTTTATCTTTACAACTTACTCTGATCACCATAGGTAGTAATCGCTACTATCAATCATCTTCGGCCATAATTTCCCTCTAACAACCAATTTGTAGAAAACATTAAATATATTTATATTTATTTTAGTAAAAATAAAAATAAAAATAAAAACATTTATTTTAAAAACTTATTTGGCAAAATAAATAAAAATTATGCTGCGAAAAATAGTAATCAAAGATGGTTGTCAACGACCAAAGGTGGTGTCCAACCTATTGCCGAAAGTGGCGGCCAAAGATTGTTGCCGCTGATGAGAGGTGGTTGGCAGTAGTCAAAGATGGTTATTGATTGTTTTTTATTTATATAACTTTTAAAAAAATTATAAATATAAATTGAAAAAATAAATTAATTGTGTTCTACTTTAGTTAAATTCCTGAAAAGATAAATTCCATAGTGACTTCTCTATAGTACTAGTTCAGGTCACTATTGCAATTGCAAGTACTATTTTTAGGTCAACAGAAGTCCAAAAGGAGACAAAAAAAATTTAAAAATTTCATGAACTGTTTTCCATTGCTGTTTTGCACTTTGCACTTGGTATGCAACTTCATAGTATCATAGTATCAAATTTAAATAAAAATTTGATTAGAAGTTTGATTTGATATGATTCACTTTAATGGTAAATTTAAAATTTTTATTAAATCTTGTTAGAAGCACCATTGTCAAATGTCTGGACGGACATCCGGCCATGAGTAAAAATTGACATTTAGAATAATAAAAAAAGAAGAAATTGTGAAAGTAGTGATATGGTGAGAATAAAAAATAGAGAACTATTATTTTATAGGTAGAGCAACAACAGTAATCTACAAAATTTGAAGTCCAACGGCCACCAACAAAATTTGATGAAAAGATAAAGTTCCCTTGATTTGATAAAAAATTCAACTCCCTTTATTTGATATCGATTTGATAAAATGGTTGGAACTGAATTTTAATACGTTTTTCATCAAATTTAAACTTGATGAAAGATTGGAGATGGGCTCAAAAGAGGTTTTTTTATATGCACAAAAAACTGATAGAATCTTACACAACTTTCTTATATGAGTATTCAAAAAGATAAAACTCACCTCAGAATTGTATCAAATCTGTAATTGATTTCTGTATGCTTAAATTTTTACTTAACAGTAGAACCAAATCTCATAGGCAGCCAAACTTGGAACAAAAATGTTACTCAAAAAAAAAAAAAAAAAAAAAAAAAAAAAAAATTTTAATTTTAATTTAAAAAAAAAAAATCACTGGCAGAGACCCAGTTTTATGTGTCCCAATTTGCAACAAAAATACTATCATATCTAACCCATAATCATTTCATTTTTTCTCTCACCACCATCAAATCAATTACCAAAAAAAACAAATTCAACTTTCTATACACAACTATTTTAGTCAAACTAAAGCCTCGTTTGGAAACCCTCTTTTTTAGCCAAAAAGTCAAAAAGTTATTAAATTAGTCAAAAAATCAATAATCCATACCAAAAAGTCACAGATTCTCTTTTCTCTCTACTTTTTGCACATCTTTTCGTAAAAAGTCAAAAAGTCATCCCAAACATACTAATTTTTTTTAGCTTATATTTTAGCTAAATAATCAAAAAATTACTAAATTAACCTGTTCCCAAACGAGACCCAAAATAACCTACAAATCAAATAGTCAACCAAAATAACCACCACCCCAAGCAAAACCTATACACTCGCATCAAATAACCAAACATGCTATATAAGTATGTAGCTGTGACGCAAATAGTGAAAGAGAAAGAAACAAACAAGCGTGAAAAAGAATGTCTCTATCTAGTGGTTTGGCACTTGACCCACTTTCACTCAGTGATCCATGTGTAAGAGTCAATAGAGAGACAGAGAGAGATGTCCTAGCTCTCACTCATAGCCTTCTAGCTAATTTTCTTGAACTCTTTTATAAATAAAACACTTCATAATAAAAGTTGATTATAAAATTAAATATAAAATATATATTAATAGATAAGATTTTACAAGATTAATTAATATAATTCAAATTTATCTTTATGCTTGTAACTTTCTTCTTCTCTTTTTCTTCCTCTCCATAAATTTTTATTCAAATTTATTATCCAAATACAAAGTCTAATCTATTAATATTATCATAAAATAACAATTTGGGCCAAGAATATGGAAGATCAACTCAACTTTAAGTAGTTCAAGACACAAAAATACATTAAGAATCCTAGACTATAAAACAAATCCATTGCTAAACGAAATACAATAGAATGAATTGCTTATTCTTTTAACTCTCCATAGAATAATCATTCCTCGTCATTATAAATGATAATTCTATTTATAATATATTTTTTTCTTGTCACGTTTTCGCAAATCAAACGTGAGAATGAACATTAGAAGAATTCTAGTACGTGCACCCCTTAAAAATGTGTACATCGTAAGAAGTTATGATTCCTTCTGATGAAAGTTATGTTTGTTTGTGGTGTGCTATGACATTTTGTGACAAAATTTCGAATAGTGAATTTATGGTATGCACCCAAAAGTTAGAGATAGCAATTAATGTTATGATATTTTGTAATTTTTATTATGACACAATGATTTTTTGTTATGATATTTTATGATAAAAAAAAAAAGTTATGATTTTTGTGGTGAAAATGTTGTGATTTTTATGTTTTATGTTATGAAATTTTGTAGAGTTTAGTGAAAAAGTTATGAAGGATTTACCATATACCCTAAACATTATGACGGAATGATCATTTCATTTTACATCATTTCCGTAAACCAGAACATTGAAAATATTTCAAGTCGTCTAGATCCTCTAGAGTAGAGGTTCCTACAATATTGCCTAAAGTAGATTAAAAAAAACTAGCGATTGTGATTTGGAGATCTTAGATCTAGGGTTTGGTTCGTGGTGATAAAGAGGGGTTGTGGTGGGTGTGTGATGGTGAAGGTAGAAAGTGATAGGATTATTAAGTCAGTATCAAGTGCATCTAATCAAGAATTGCAGCAAAGCTTGTAAGCTATAGCACACCAAAGCTTTATTTAGTTGATATAATCATATTTTGTTATATTAGTTAAGTTAGTTAGAGTTGGTTAGATATAGGATAGACATAGTTGGTTATCAATTCGAAGTGACGTATATAAATAGAGTTGATGTAAGTATTCATTCATTGAAATAATAATCTAGATATTCATATCATTCTCATGGTATCAGAGCCAGTGCTCCGAGGAGCTTAGGTTCTCTAATGTTGTGTTTGGTTGGGAGATTTGCGAAGGATTTAGAAAAGAAAAGAGAAATGGTAAGTAAAATATGAATAAAATATACTTACATTTCACTTAGTTTCACTCATCTTTTCTCTTTCACTTTCCAAATCTCTTTCTAAATCCCCTAACCAAACACAATGTAAGGGCCTTCAATGTTGTTCATAGAGGATTCTTCAAATCCTCTTCCTTCTAATCTCACACTCTTGATTTCTAATTTGAATTCCTTTGTTACTGTCAAATTGGATTCATCAAATTACATTGTTTGGAAGAACCAATTCCAAAATATACTCCAAACCACAAATCTCCTGCGATTTGTTGATGGCTCTATTGAATGTCCCTCTGAATTTATGTTTGATTCCGATGGCAAGACTATGATCAACTCATAATCTCTAATGGAAGCAAATAGATTCCTATTTGCTTAGTTGCATCACAATAACTCTCGTGTGTTTACCTCAGTATTTGATTGCTCAACTTGTAGAGACGTCTGGTCTTTTCTTGCCAAAAGATTCACTTCTCTCTCTTGTTATAAAATTCATCAACTGAAGAATCAATTGAACAATATTTCCAAGAAATCTTCTTCAATGGAAGCATATCTTCTTCAACTCAAGACCATCTCTGATCAGTTGGCACTTGGTTCTTCACCTGTCCAAGATGAAGATCTAGTTTTCATTGCTCTAAATGGACGTCTTGCTTAATACAATGTTTTCTGAGGCTTTACATGCAGAAGTTGATACTAAAGCTCCTCTATCTTCAGATTTTATAGTGGCATATGCTGCAATGAAGGATCAAAACTCCTATGAATCTCAGTCCTCTAGTTTTCGAGGAAATCGACCTTTTTATGTAAGAAGAGGAGGTCATAGAGGCGGTAGACTTTTTGTGGTTCTCCAAATCCAAGGAGTGTCGCTGGTAAACATTTTCAAAATTTTTCTCATTCTTCATATCAGTCTTCGGCTTCTGCTTTGATTTTCCAACGTTGTAGCAAATCTAACCATACTACCCTCAACTGTTGGTATAGGATGGATGCTTCATTTCAATCATCCTCTTCTTTATCTAAGGCAGCTTTTATTGCTTCCTCTACACCTAGATCTTCATTACCAACTGCTAATTGGTATGTGGATTCTGCTGTATCACCTCATGTGACTCTTGATCTAAATAATTGTTAGCAATATCAGTCATATTATGGTACCGATCAGGTTACTATTGGTAATGGTCAGTCCATTCCAATTCAACACACAGGTCAAGATATCCTCCCTACTCCTTCCTTTCCTTTTAAACTCAATAATATTCTTCATGTTTCCTCCATTTATTCTAATCTTCTTTTAGTTCATCAATTAACTTCTAATAATAATTGCACTATCACATTTGATAACCAATCCTTTATGATTCAAGACAAGACCACCAAGAAACTTCTCTATAAAGGTGTTCATAGTCATGGTCTCAATCAGTTACCTTCTAGTTTGCCACAATCTTCATGACATGCACCATTTGCTTCAAATGTATTTTTTTTTTGCCACTAGTTCTGTCTCCCCTGC